ATGGCCAAACTCCTGCCTTGTAAAGGTGCCAGGCTGTCGTTGTCATCCCGGGGTTGGGGTGATGGTTCGGGGAAAGTCATCCATGAGAGTTCGGTCTGTAACACCCCCTCCCTCTTTCTTTCAGGCACTTTGCACCCCAACTGTCAGGACAGCAGCGGGCGCCCGCGGCGGGACATTGGCACCATCCTGCAGATCCTCAACGACCTGCTGAGCGCCACCCGGCACTACCAGGGCGTGCCCTCCTCCCTGACCCAGCTGCGCTGCCAGACGCAGTGCGGGCCCTCGCCGCCCCCCTCGCCGCCGCCCTCGCCCCCCGCCGCGGGCATCGCCAGCCTCTCTGCCAAAGCTACCTCAGTGCCCAGCCCTGGCCAGCCCTCCCTGCACCCTCTGGTCCAGTGTCAGAGCCCCATCCGCATGTGCAGACCCAGCGGTAAGTTTCCCTCTTTTCCCGTTCCTGCAGCTCGGAGAACTTTGCGCCCCTTTGTCCTGAACAGCACCCCAGTTCATACTGTCCTCCGGGAGACGGGGGCTGCAGCTGTCTTCACTTAATCCGCGGGGCGGTCCCTCGCTCTCCATCGGTCCGCTGGCCTTCCGATAAAAGCAGCTGTCCTCAGGAACCGAGGGAGAGGAAGTGGACTGTCCACATTCTTCGGTTTCGGATTCGGGAGAGCCTGTCAGCTATGTAGGCGCATGGCGATGTGGCGCTTGGTTTCTGGACTGGTTTCTTGGCAGCAGTCGTGGCGAGAACGCGCACAGCATATGGGTTTTCTGTGCCATTTAAGCATTAAAAATAGAAGTCGCTCTGGACTGAAGGATTTGCAGGATTGGTTGTTTCGCGGGGGGGGTTAGGAGCAGGACGGTGTGGAGAGAGACAAAGCCGGCCGGTCTGGTCTCTGGAAGGGGGTCGTTTTGTAGGAGGGGGGCAGGGCCACCAGTCAGGCGATGAGGAAGTGTCTGATTCTGAAGGCTAAGCTGTGGCCCCAGCCCTTTCAATCACCAGTGTCCACACGTGCGCATAGCGTAGCGCTGATGTCTAAGCTAACTGATCACTGGGCTGATCGGTCTCTTTAACAGCTGTTCCAATAAGCTGCGGATTCGGTGCTTTTTTTTTTTTTAAATCTTCCCCTCATCTTAGCAGATTTTAATTTGCTCTCCTCCCGGGGACAATGGGTTATTTATTTTTCTGGCCAGAGTCTCTTGACAGTTCTGCCTAATTATAGAAAGCTATACTTGTGCTAGTCAGTGCCTGCCGAATCCTCATTCTTAACAAAGGAACGAAACAGAAGTTTTTTTTTTTTTTCCAGTTTGTTAAAACCGATCCACACGCTTTAAATAATTCAACCCCTTTTCTGAAGCCGGAGACCCCCCTCTCCCCCCCCCACACACTCTCCAGTCAATGGCCAAACCTACTGTTTCCGCAGCGCCGTTCCAAAACCCTAACCTCATCTGTAAAACACGCCGCGTCCTTCCAGCCAGGCCCTTCAATGGCAGCCTGTGTTTCCCTCGGACTTTAAATAGGAGGATTTATACAAAGCAGGAACGCAACAAGAACGCGCATTGTGTTTTTCAAGGCGGGGAGGGGGGGG